TATAAAAGTTTCTGTGTGAATATATGTTTTGTTTGTTTGATAGATGTTTTTATTTCTCTTGGGTATGTACCTAGGAGTGGAATTGCTGGCTCATGTGGTAATGAGTTTATGTATTTGAGGAACTGCCAGACTGCTGTCCAAGATGGTGGCACCAGTTCACATTCCCACCAGCAGTGTAGGAGGATTCCATTTTTAGTGGACATACTATTTGCTTTTTGCTATCTTTAGTGTAAATAAGGGCTCTAGAAAAGATTTTTAATAGCCTTGGAGAGCTATCTGATACTTGGTTTTTTTCTAATCCTCACTCGAGGAAGTGTTCTTATTAATTTGAGAGAGAGAGGAAGGGAGGGAGGGAGGGAGAGAGAGAAAGAAACACCAATGTGAGAAACATCTGTTGCCTCTTGTACGAGCCCTGACTGGAAATCGAACCCACCACCTTTTGGTACACAGATGACGCTCCAACCAACTGAGCCACCCAGCCAGGGCTGTCTGATACTTTAGACATTCCTCCCTGCCACCCAGGTCTGCCAGAAGGGCACTGGGTTTGCTACATGATGTGTCTGAAAGTAGCTTCTTTCTTCTTTTCTCTCCTCTGAGGAGCATGGCCTTAGGCCTGTGCCAGGCCAGCATGCCTGACCAAGCCCAGGTTCCTGTTCTCTCTGTACTGGCCATGTTGATTCTGCTTGACCGACTCTTACACCCACTGTCAGGATTGTATGCCCAGTGATAAAAGGCTTCTCTGAGCTTTGATCTGTAGGACAGCTGCCCTGTCCAACTGTAGGAATGCCATATAGTTTTTGGCATTCTTCTTTCCTCTTGTCCTCTCCCTTTGCTAAGAGGAGCTGGTTGGCCCAGATTCTAGGGCCTAGAAAGAAGGGATAAGTATGACTCTTGTCTATCAACATAAAGAAGCCTGTGCTTGATTGATTGATTGATTGATTGATTTTTAGAGAGAGAGGAAGGGAAAGGAAGAGAGAACTAGAAACATCAGTGAGAGAGAACATCGATTGGCCTCCTCCTTCAAGCCCCCCACTGGGGATTTGGCCCACAACCTGGGCATGTGCCCTGACTGGGAATTGAACTGGCAACCTCTTGGTGCATGGGTAGACGCTCAACCACTGAGCCACACTGGCCGGGCAAGAAACCTGCACTTTATTTTATTTAAAAATTATTTTTTCCTTCATTGATTTTTAGAGAGAGAGGAAGGGAGAAGAAGAGAGAGATAGAAACATCGAGGAGAGAGAACATCGATTGGCTGCCTCCTGCATGCCCCCCCCTGGGGGTTGGGCCCACAACCTGGGCATGTGCCCTGACTGGGGATTGAACTGGCGACCTCTTGGTGCATGGGTCGACGCTCATCCACAGAGCCACACTGGTCGAGCAAGAAGCCTTCACTTTAAAAAGCTGACTTTCAGAGGGACACCTCCCAGTACACCAGCTCCTCTTCATCTAATGGGACTTGCCAGGCATTTCACAGTTCTCTAAAGGTCTCTTTTCTATGTTGCTATAAATTTCTAATCATGTAAGTCACAGGCTACCTCACTTCTAAGACATTGCCCCTCCAGCAGAGAAGCAGGATTTGGGAGGAGTCTTAAAATTGATTGGGAAAGACACACAAATATGAGAGAAGGAGTTGTCTCCAGGTTGTATCTCTGGGAGACATTTCAAAAGGTCTGATTATTCAAGATGGATGGGAAAACTTAGGCTGTAATAATGATAGTATCTGACATTTGTTGCCAGGCAATGTGTAAAGGCCTTTCATGTATTATCTCATTTAATACAATCTAACTGTTGTCTTCCCCATGACCAAATGAGGGAACTGAGGCCTAGAGGTCTGATTTGCCCAAAGTCCCATAGCTGGCATTCCTGGGATAAGAATGCATGTGTCTGTCACAACATTTTGGCTTGGCCAGACAGTACATACTTGATAAATATTTACTTGAGTAAATGAAGTAGGCAGTGCACTGAATAAATAGGCCCAATGAGGAGGGGCAGGAATGAGGGCAAGGTCTTCCTACCTCCTGCAGAGGAATGGGCACCTGCTGTTAGTGATGGAAGTTGGTGACTTGCGTAGGTCTGTCTTTCTTATCAAGAAAGTTACCCATATTATTTCAGCATTCCACCCAAAGAAGGCTAGAACTGATGTTTCTGTAATCCCAGGGGAGAAAGAGGAAGATGCATACTTTCTTCATCTATTATTGTGCTGATCTGGTGTTCCTAGGGCTAACACTTTCAAGAAATACCCTATTTCCCACTCCCAGGATCATACAGATGAGGCCAGGCTGGGAGGAAGGATGGGAAAATCGATGTGTAGTTCAGTTTATTTTGGAAAACTGCCTGACTAGTTTTAAGTGTGGATCAGACACTGGAGTGCCTTATTGAGTCAAAGGAACTGTTGCATCACACGTGGGCAAAAGGACAGAGCCAGGTCTTCTCCTTAGGTTTCTGCTCCAGGCTACCATTGTTCTGGGAGCTTGGCTCCAGAGGTGCTTGTTTATGGTTCCAAATTACCAGTTTCTGGGAGAGGAAAAATACTTCCTGTAGTGTCATTCAGGCATCTGCTTAGATCAGATAGTAGTGGCCAGGAGGCCAGAGCCTGTGGTTAAGGCGTAGCCACCAGGAGCCCCCCGCCTCTGTTATTGGAGAGTGTAGCAAGAGAAGGAAGAGAAGGGAGCACTGGGCAGCCACCCTGTGGGTCTGCTCCACAGGTGTGAAAAGGCTTTGTTGAGACACTGCCCTTTCACTTGTTGGAAAAGTGTTCAGTGGGATGAATTGTGTTTGAAAATGTTCAGCCAACTCTTTTAGGGTCTTCATGGAGCTGGGGGAGCAAGATGAAAAGCACCAGGTGCGGGCCTCTCTCCCCATCACAAGAAGGTAGAAGGTGTGAGAGGAATGAAGTAGATCTGGGTTGGAGTGAAAGTAGTTACCAGATTGTTGAGATGATTAAGTGACACAACATGCATGTAAAATACGTACCCTTTGCCTGGTATATCATATCCCCCCCCCCCCCCATGAATATTAGCAATGTATTGTTGTAATAATAATTATTACAGCCCTGGCTGGTTTGGCTCAGCAGTTAGAGCATCGGCCTGTGGTCCAGAGAGACCCGGGTTCGGTTCCTGCTAAGGGCACGTACCTCGGCTGCAGTTTGTCCCTGGCCCTGGTTGGGTTGTGCAGGTGGCAGCAGCTCGATGTGTCCCTTTCACATCGATGTTCCTCTCTCTCTCCCTCCCACTCTATCTGAACAAAAAATGGAAAAATGTCCTCGGTTGAGGATTAAAAAAAAAAAAAGAAATAGTGTGTGCAGTTCGTTGGTCACAGCTTTCTCTTTTCACCGCGTGCAGTTAGAAAGCTTTGTCACAGGCTGAAGAAAGAAGCTCTTGTGTGAGATGTTGCCTTTATTTATTATTCTCTTGGGTGCTTTGTCTGAATTCCTGGTACTTATTTTTCGTAAGTGGTTTGTTTCCCTGAGTCACCTGCCGGAGGCTGGGCAACTGTGGTGCTGTCTGCCTGCTCTGTACTCCCACAGGTAGCCTGTGGAGCCCCAGTTTCCAAGTCCTCTCTCGGGAGCCTTCATTAAGCATACAGTCTAGTTGGGGGGGGGGGGTGGTGGTGAATATGAACAAGATATGTAAGTAAAATATGAAGTACCTTTGCATGAACAGAATGTGCTTTGGGACCCAGTACTTAGCATCCTGAAGCAGATGCTGTCCTCTCTCTCATACCCCCTGTTTCTGTTGTGGTGTGTACCACACTGCTTCCTATCAGACATTAGGAGCACCATGAGGGCAGAGATCTGTTGACCATGGTGTAGTTGGGAGGATTCCAGTCAGGATCAGGATAGCATGTGCATGAACAGCATGTGCATGGAAGAGCTTGTGAAATGCTAAGTGTAAGAGTGGCAGTGTTGATACTGTACTGTCCTTACTAACCTAGGGCCATGAGAGTTGGTAAGAGCAGAGATCCATGCTGGTGACTCTAAGGGGTCCCTTTGGTTGGAGTTTCCCAGAAAGGATTGCTCTCTGCCACTGTATGTTGAAACCCATTCATCAGTCTAATCACCCATTCATCCATTCATCCACCCATCCATCTGTCATCCATCCATTCATTCATCCATCTAGCACTTACTTATTGAGCTCTTATTATATGCCAAGCAATGTTCAAGGCACTGGGTGAATAAATAGTAAAAAAAATCTTAGTCTTCATTGAGCATACAATCTAGTGGGGATTGAATATGAACAAGATAAGTAAATAAAATACAAAGTACCTTTGCACGAACAAACTTGGTGCTTTGGGACCCAGTACTTAGCATCCTGAAGCAGGTGTTGTCCTTTCTCTCATACACCCTGTTTCTGTTGTGGTATGTACCACACTGCTTCCTGTCAGACATTAGGAGCACCATGAGGGCAGAGATCTGGTTGGGTTTGCCATATTTCCCTGGTGCCTAGTTGGTGACAGACGCCTGGTAGGCATGCAGTGGGGTAATCAATCATAATCAACCATATAAAGAGGGTAGAAGTGAAAAGTCCCATAGGCACCAGTTTCCTGGATATCTTTCCTGGAATTAGTGTACGTATAGTATATAAATAAATGGCATAGGTTTAAATGCCTTTTCACCTAACTACTATTTTGAAGATCATTTCCTTTTAGAGTTTCCATATTTTTTAAATAACTCTACTCCATTATATGGATGTACTACGATTTATTTAATCAGCTCCCTAGTGATGCTTATGTCACTGTTTGCAATCTTTTGCTGTGATGAACACTTCAGGGGAATAATGTTTATGTTATTCACACATTTGCGAGTGCTTCAGGATAATTCCAGGAAGTGGGACTGCTGACTCAGGACATACCACTTGGTATTAATTTATAAATGAAGACAGAAAAAATGAGGCCCACGAGTGAACTAATGATCACATTTCGTGGGCAAGTCACCACTCCCTGTGTTCTGCTTAAAATCTTAATGGCATCTGATAACACTTCTTTTGTTACTGCACTAGGCTGGAGACTCCATGTTCAATCGTGCTAAGCTCCTCAACGTTGGCTTTCAAGAAGCCTTGAAGGACTATGATTACAACTGCTTTGTGTTTAGCGACGTGGACCTCATTCCAATGGATGACCGTAACACCTACAGGTGTTTTTCCCAGCCGCGGCACATTTCTGTGGCAATGGATAAGTTTGGATTTAGGTAAGAGCTGTTCACCAGAGTCTACAGAAAACATGTTTTTCTCTGATAAGACAACTAGGAGGAGGGCCTCTGAAGGCACTGGAGTAGAATACCTCCTCTGAGAAATGGGTGCTTTTTAAGCCCAGGGTCAGTGATTATTTGAGGAGGAAAGTGGAGTCCAGAAAGGCCTGTAACCTCTGCACATCCAGACAAGAAGAGTCTTTAATATTTGGGATGGCTCCAGACTGACGCCGTGCTTCCTTTCTTTATTCTCTTCCCCTCAACAGTTTGGGAAACTAATTGGAATCATTTCCCCCCAGTATATTCTTGGGGTTGGATACCTCAGCAATTCAGCAGTGCATAGGCTTCTGCTTAAACACATGACCCACGTGTTTCTACCAAAATGCCCCTGGTGAGGAGGCCAGCTGATGCCTGGCCCCAGGGGGCAGCAGTGTAATCAAAGGCATATCGTCATAGGTGGAAAATTACCCTGTGTTCTGTTGTTGTTGTTTTTAATCCTCGCCTGAGGACATTTTTCAATATTTTGTTCAGATAGAGTGGGAGGGGGAGAGAGAGAGAGAGAGAAACATCCATGTGAAAGGGACACATCGAGTGGTTGCCACCCACATGACCCAACCAGGGCCGGGGACAAACGGCAACTAAGGTACGTGCCCTTAGCGGGAACTGAACCCGGGTCTCTCCGGACCACAGGCTGACGCTCTAACCGCTGAGCCAAACTGGCCAGGGCAGGTCTGTTGTTTTGTCATAAAAAAATAAATGTGTATTTTGTTCCATATGTACCCATATTTGTATTAACATAAGATGGTTTTAAATCACTTGTCAGTTTGGTAACCTGGTCTTTCCCTCCTGTTCTAAGAAGCTGCCATGGGTGCCCAGTGTATAGGCCCCTGCCTCGGACTGATAACCGCAGTGTGGCTGGCCTGGGCTGACCAGCAGTCCCTCGGTTTAGATCCAACTGCCTTTTTTCTGACTCATTTTATTCTCATAATTATTTCTATCCTCCCTTGCTGAGGGCATGAGGTCTGTGAGATAAATATAGGGTTGATATGAAGTCCTTCCTCCAGATCAAAAGTATTCAGGCCCCAGACTTGCTGTCTTCAAGACGGGAAATGTAAATGTGACTTTCTGCTCCCCATCTTTCCTCCCTCCCTCCCTGTTTGTCTGTCTTCTTCTTCTTCTTTTTTTTTTTTATCCTCACCCGAGGATATTTTTCCATTTTTTGTACAGATAGAGTGGGAGGGAGAGAGAGAGAAACATCGACGTGAAGGGACACATCGAGTGGCTGCCACCAGCACGACCAACCAGGGCCGGGGACAAACTGCAACCGAAGTATGTGCCCTTAGCGGGAACCGAACCCGGGTCTCTCTGTACCGCAGGCCGACGCTCTAACCGCTGAGCCAAACTGGCCAGGGCTGTCTTCTTCTTTTTGAGATACACGGGCTCATACTCAACCCTTCTTAATATCTTCCTTGAAGCTTGGTGGTGATCACCTAGTTCTTCACAGTGCCGTGTCTGTTTTTCCCAAACTGCTTAGGCTTGGGGGACGGGGCAGGAGATAAGAGAAAGCAGCAGAAACAGCAAAACCAGATCTTGTCAGCTCAGCTTGTATTTCCCCTAGAAGTGGCTAAGAGTCTATTTCTGTAAAAACACTGATTATCAAAAAACTTTATTGGCCTGGCCACCTGGTTCAAACCCTCCCATTACAAGTGCAGACTGTACTGTGAGGTAAGCCAGAAGGTGGATGACTTGGCTCCTCAGTGATGATACCTTATTACATATATATTACCTTAGATTCACTAAAGCAGGTCCCCAGGGATCTGTGCTTGTGGATACTTGCAGTCAGAATTCCTGAGTGTATTTGAAGATGATAATTGCTTTTTTTTCTTTTCTTAATGGGTTCTATATGGTTTGGCTGACTTCTCTCTTCAAGTCCGAGTTAGAGTTTTTCTTAATTTGTGTGATAGGTTTGGTCTCTCTGGATTCCAGTAAGAGCCTGAGTGTGATTTGGAACTGCACACAGGGTGGTGAAAAAAACCACAGCCTTTAAAGGATCCACGGAAGGCCTCTGGGCATATCCTGATTCTGATTCTTAACATTTCTCATAGGTGCTTCCTCTGTATCCCTCAGGAGGCCATGATTCATAACCATTGAAACATTGAAGTACAAAAAGGTGTGGATGGATAAGAGCCCAGATACCCTGCTGCTTGAAAATGTGTCCAAATAGATTCACCATTAGACATTTTGCTAAGCCAGGATATGGACAGAATTTACAAGAAAATATTATTTTAGAAAATTTTCAGAAATGCTATCTTTTTTTTTTTTAAATCAGAAAATGTACCCATTTTATTGATGCATTGCAATTGATTTACATTTTACCATATTGTGTAGAAAATATTGAAAATACAAGCTACTTTGTAAAACCAAAGACAAACTTTGAATCCAAAGATAAACTATGTTTTACACAATAGACCTTTTTCCCATAGTTAGTATTATATTTAAAAATATCTATTTATGCTCTGGTCGGTTTGGCTCAGCAGTTAGAGCGTCGGCCTACGGACTGGAGAGTCCCATGTTTGGTTTCCGCTAAAGGCACGTACCTCAGCCCTGGCCGGTTTGGCTCAGCGGTTAGAGCGTCAGCATGCGGACCAGAGAGTCCCGGGTTCGGTTCCCGCTAGGGGCACATACCAGAAAAGAAAAGGAAAGGCATGTACCTCAGTTGCAGTTTGTCCCCGGCCCTGGTTAGGTCATGTGGGTGGCAACCACTCAATGTGTCTTTCTCATGTTGATGTTTCTCTCTCTCTCCCTCCCGCTCTATCTGAAGGTAAATGCAAAAAAATAAAATATCTATTTATTTTGTTAAAATGATTATTTTACATATTCCCTAAGTATGTCTGCATTGTAAACATAGTTCACTAATTCTCAGAAACTGTTTTCTAGAGGCTTGTTGTAAAAGGAAATGAACAAGCAGAAAAGGGAGAAAGCAAAAAAAATTTTTAATTACACACAATAAGTAGCATATCAAATACATTAAAAACTTTTTAAAATTATTTATTTATTTTGTTAATCCTTACCCGAGGATATTTTTCCATTGATTTTAAAATAGAGTGGGAGGGAGGGAGGGAGGGAGGGAGAGAGAGAGAGAGAGAGAGAGAGAGAGAGAGAGAGAGAGAGAGAGAGAAAGAAAGAAAGATCTATGTGAGAGAGACACATCAATTGATTGCCTCCTGCACGACCCCAACCAGAGCTGGGAATCAAACCTGTGACCCTTGGGTCTGTAGGCCCACTCTCTCAACTGCTGAACCAAACCAGCCAGGGCAGAAGATCTTTTTTTTTTTTTTCTTTATTGATTTTAGAGAGAGAGATAAAGAGAGGGAGGGAGATAGAAGCATCAGTGAGAGAGAACATCTATTGGCCGCCTCCTGCATGCCCCCCATTGGGGATTTGGTCCACAACCTGGGCATGTGTCCTGACTGGGAATCGAACTTGAGGCCTCTTGGTGCATGGGTCGATGCTCAACCACTGAGCCATACCGGCCAGGCAGAAGATACTAGTTTTTGATACTGTGTCTTCTCTAAGATAATCTGAGTCTGCTATAAAAAACAAAACAAAGAAAACCCTTCATAAATCTCTAATTAAAAAGTTCCAGAGAATAAAAATAACTTTAGAAGTGTTTATGTTTTGAGCAAACTTTATTTTGAGAAAGTCAAAACTCACTAACCACTGGTCCTCTATGTGTGTGTGTATTTCTCCCCCCCACAGCTTGCCTTATGTTCAGTTTTTTGGAGGTGTGTCGGCTCTAAGTAAACAACAGTTTCTCACCATCAATGGATTTCCTAATAATTATTGGGGCTGGGGAGGTGAAGATGACGACATTTTTAACAGGTAATGGTCACAGCTTAGATCTCCTTCTTTCCTGTTTCCCTTCACTTCTAGTTTTTCCATCAATGCTTGGTTATTCTGCAAGGCTTTTGACCCTCAGGAGGGATGCAGTCTCCACTCAGCCCAGGTTCTTTTGTTTGCCCAGTGGTAGACACTATACGTGCTGAAGGTGTCTTTAGGGAAAAAAAAAAATTTAATTTATTGATTTTTAGAAAGAGAGAAATATCGATTTATTGTTTCACTTAGTTGTACATTCATTGGTTGATTCTTGTATGTGCCTTGACCCAGGATTGACCTCACAACCTTGGCATGTCTGGACCACACTCATAACTAACTGAGCTACCTGGCCAGGGCAGCTTCTCTGATTTTTACATTAGCCTTGGAAAATGTAAAATGAGAACCAAGTAAAGGGTGAGCTTACTTTGATATATACCACACGCCATTTGTACTGAAGGAGTAAACACATGTCCTTTGTAAAAATTCAGCATGTCATTGGGGTCCTGTTTGAGTGTGAAACAAGTTCCTTTGGCCAGGATCCCAAGTTCTTCACAGAATCTCGGTACTATTTTTTTTGGACTATTTTTTTTTTTTTAATCCTCACCCGAGGACATTTTTCCATTTTTGTTCAGATAGAGTGGGAGGGAGAGAGAGAGAGAGAGACATTGATGTGAAAGGGACACATCGAGTGGCTGCCACCTGCACCACCCAACCAGGGCCGGGGACAAACTGCAACCGAGGTACATGCCCTTAGCAGGAACCAAAGCCAGGTCTCTCTGGACCGCAGGCCAACGCTCTAACCGCTGAGCCAAACTGGCCAGGGCGGACTTTTTTTTTAATTTTTTTTTTTTTTAACTTTTTTCCTGTATTGATTTTGGAGAGAGAGGAAGTGAGAGGGAGAGAGAAATAGAAACATCGATGAGAGGGAACATCGATTGGCCGCCTCCTGCATGCCCCCCACTGGGGATCGGGCCCACAACCTGGGCATGTGTCCTGACCGGGAATCGAACTGGTGACCTCTTGGTGCATGGGTCGAAGCCCAACTACTGAGCCACACCTGCCAGACTTTTTTGGACTATTTTTAACATATACAAAGAGGATAGAGTAGTGTGATGAAACCCTACTGACTGGCCCCAACAGCCATCATTTCATGGCCAACCCACCCATCCACACCCTGGGACTCCCTGGAAGCTGGCAAACCTTTATTATGTAGGTTGTCATTGCAAATGGTGTAAAACCATCTGTCAGTAGCATTTGAAACAACATTCTGCCCAGTTCTCCCTGGCAAAGGAGGCTTCAACCCTGCCAGCTGCAAGGTAAAAGCACCTATTTCATCTGTGAGCCAGTCTGAACTTGTCTGTGTTTGATGTCAGGATATACCCTTGTGCCTCCCTGAATTGGAATACACTGATTTGACCAATTAATAGAAGGTTTCTGTCAGAGCAGCACCCATGTCATTTAAGGTTACTTTTCCGTGAGAACTTGGCCTAGACCCAGGTCTTTAATGTTGGCCTTGGAGAACACTCGAGTCTTCCAGTGTGTAGACTGGTCATCAAGCATGCGCTTACTGAGTGCTGCGTGCAGAGCACTGGCAGGGTGGCCCCGTGGGGCGGGCACCGAAGCAGTGGATGCGGAGTCCAGACAGAAACAAACTTGCTTCCACAGTACCACACCTGGGCAAACACCGGGCTGCTGTGACACCACAGACCTGAGTGGGCAGAAAGGCTAGGGCTGGGTGGGCCGGAGCACCAAGTACGGACACCCTAGGGTGAAGGGACTAGAATGATGAGTGGTTTGTGGAGCAGCTCTCTTGAAAAATAAAGGACCTAACTCTTACTGCACACCTGCTTACTGTGTGCCAGGCACTAGATCAACCCTGGGGGGCAAGGTTGGAAACCTTTACGTCATCCAAGAGCACTTAGTCCTGCCTCTTAACTTTCCCCCAGACCTACACAGAACCTTCTACCCTGTTCTGGCTGCCTCTAGTCTTATTCTGTACTCTCTATTCTTACACGGCTTATCAGAGAGATGTCTTCTCAGCCAAAAACCTTTGAGAACCACTGTATTATTTCCTTTTCTGACACTGGCACTGTTCACTGGGATGCTTGAAGCTTTGAGAAGGCCTTCGTGAGTCAGCCTTTACCCGTCTTCCAGCCTCATCTCCAGCCCCTTCCAACCCCAAACCCTTTCAACAGTCCTCAGAAGCTTGTGTTGCTCCCTGAGGACACTGCTTGCTCTCCCTCCCTGCCTTTGCCTCTGGTTTCCTGGCTGCCCAGAATGCTCTGGCAGATGCCCATGCATCCTCACGACTTGGCTCTGTCTCGTGTTGCTCAGGTAGTTGCTTCTCTCTCTGCCCCATAACCGCACTTCCCCTCCTCACCTCCATCCTGCTGCTGACACCCTATGCTCTAATCATCCACACTGAGTTCCATGACAGAACCTAATAGTCACCAACACAAACCATGGAACCAGTGGTAAAAGCACCTGGGGAAGGGGTGTGAGTTTTAACCAATGCCATGCTGGGCTGGGGTGTGGGCAAGTGAGAACAGTAAGCAGGATGGTGGATGGGGCACCGGTCTCACAGCTGCGGCTTTCAGACTCGAGCCGTGTGGCAGCTCCGTAACGATGATTTGTCCCTTTGCTCCTTGCAGATTAGTGTTTAAAGGTATGTCTATATCTCGCCCAAATGCTGTGGTTGGGAAGTGTCGGATGATTCGCCACTCAAGAGACAAGAAAAACGAACCCAATCCTCAGAGGTGTGTTCTGTTTGTTTGTGTTCCTTCTTCCCCCTTTAGGATGGGGCAGGCTGCAGAAATGAGGCTCTGGGGGGCTCCATGCCTGGAGGAAGAGGGAGGGTTCAGTCCGGGGGTGAGGGGGTGCCCAGTGAAGTACAAACATTTAATGCTTTTTTTCTTAACAATTTTTTTTTTTGAAACCAACCGCTTGCCCTCTTTTTCCTTGTAGGTTTGACCGAATTGCACATACGAAGGAGACAATGTTCTCTGATGGTTTGAACACACTGACCTACAAGGTGTTGGACATAGAAAGAAACCCATTATATACCAAAATCACAGTGGACGTTGGGACACCGAGCTAGCATTTTGCTTCACTGATAAGAGACCTGAAAATGGCCAGGGACCTCTGCTGTGTCTCTGCTAATGTGCTGGGCTGGTCCCTGTCACTCTGAGCAATCAAAGTGATAGGCCCCCTTTGCTCATCACTCACATGCCTTTCCAGAGGACCAGAATGAGTGGGATGTTGTGCCCCCACCTTGACTTGGCATGTGACTTCTTAGCTCTCCGAGGTGTTTGTCAGTGTAGAAACTATCAGCCTTTGGGGGTTCTCAGCGTGTTCACGGTGTTACCCCAAAGAATCAGAGCTGTATACAGCCCCGAATTTGGTGACTGTGGGGCTCGTTCCCAGTGGTAAACTGCTAATTTGTTATGAAATAGGTAAGACTTTTGCTTTAAATTGTGTATTCTTCTTACTTCATGAAAAATTGGAGAGTGCTGCTGAATTGGATTGGTGTGATATTTTTTGGTTGTCATATTTTAACAGGAAAACAGTTTCAACTATTCTCATTTCACCTGCCTTTCCCCCTCCCCCTTCTTTTAGTGCTATAAAACTGTGTGTGTCTTTTCTTAGCAAAAGAGTTTTAAAACTTGAGCCTCAGACCTTATGCCCTGCTAGTGTGTGAATTCCAAGGCAACTTCAGCCACCAGAGCAAAAGCCTTGGGTGCTTTCACATTCGGTGGCCTTTCTCCAGATTGCCTGATTTCTGAATGTAAAACTTAAAAAAAAAAATAGCTGTGTGTAGTTTGTAGTATTTTAAAGACCAAATTGAATTCTGATGACTGATCTAGCTTGATTTTGTGTTGATCCAGATTTGCATAGCTGTTTAGTGTTAAATCATGGCAATTTATTTTTCTGAGTATGCTATGTAAACTTGAATTTCCTATGTATTTTTATGGTGGTGTTTTAAATGTGTGGAGGGGACTGAGCATTTTTTTAGGGGGAAAAAATTCTGTATGCTGTAGTGGCCATGAGCAGGCCTTTGTTTTAGAGCAGGTCAGGTTTTGTGAAGAGCAAAATCACCTTTGGGTCCTTTGATGAGGGCAAGGCCTCCCAGACCTCTGCGGGAAGGTGGAAGCCTGGGCCTGCCGGGCAGGGCTCCCTACCTCCTTCCCCTCCCCAGGTGCACAGGGTAGAGGGAATCTCCACCACCTCCTGGAACTGACCCCGCACCCCTCACCCCAAGACCTCCCATCAGGGCCCTAGACTAGAGTTGTAAATGACAGCAATCAGGTAGGTCTGTTACTGGCCCCTAGCCTGGGAAGGTGGAAGGAACCTCAGTTCTAGCATCTCGTGGAGTCTAGGGTCTGCCTCCCTTGGAGGTTCTGCCCCACACTGCCTGTCCACCTTGCAGGACTGGTTCTCCTTCCTCCCCCTCCTGCCCTTCCCATTTTTGTTCCTTTGCTTCTTGCTTGTTCCCTAAAACTTGCCTGTGGCACTCAGGGTCAAATAGACTGTTCATTCTCCAGCATGAATGTGCCTTTTAATTAGAAACCTAGAAAGAAATTCAGCTGAACCCACCCACACTCCCCCATGACCACTCTGGTGTCTAAAGCCTTCCTTTCCCCCTCGGGTTCTTAGCAGGTAGGTGCTCCCACTCCAGGGAGGCTGACCCACCGCTTCTCTTCTCCAAACCCGCCTCTGCCGGGGGAGGCTTAGACTGCCTGGCTGAGATGCATGAGGCAGTTTCTACCACTGGGTGCCCTTACTGGGTCCAGTCTGGGCTAAGGCCATGAAAGTCAGCTGTTTAATCCCAGGGTTGACGTCTCAGCTGGTGGCAGCTCGGACCTCTACCACGGACCTCCTGGGAAGCAGGCCTCAGTGTGGAGGCTGAGTTGGTTTCCAGCCCAGTCTTACCTGTGCCTTTATTGCTTTGAGCATCTCAGATGCTAACTTGTTTCTTTTTCCAGAAGACTTTGTATTGATTACAGTTTATTTCCCACTGCAGAAGCATTTGGGCTATGCAAATAGTATTCCTTCTGTCAATTCCCTGCTCCTTAACAGTGACATTAATAAAACTCAGAACAACTGCACTGAGAAGGAGTTTTGGGAAATGCAAAGAATGAAGACCTCTTTTTCTGACCCCAGATCCTCACTTTTCCAAAGTGCCTTAAAAGAAAGACAAATACCTTGGGAAGTAACTCTGTTACTTACTTTACTCTTTTAAAAAATTAAGACAGTTTTCTTCTTCTTTTTTTGTTTTGTTATATTTTCCTTTATATTGCATTGGAATGTTCAAGTATGTGGTTCATTCTCAGAACCGAGGGAAATCCTGCATCATCTGTTCCTTGTTTGCTGACCTTCTGGTGCTCTCATGGGGGTCACCTGGGCCTGGATGCTTGCCTGGTTCATGAGATGCTGTAGGTCCTGTTTCCTCCCTGCGGAGTCCAGGGCAGAGGGTTCAGGGAGCATTTCCTTTACCTGGAAGTCGTCACCATGAAGTTCTCATGTATGTGCCTTTGGCCTTTGTTTCAGTCCTTCTCGTTCCTGGTGACCCTGTAAAGTGGCTTCTGGAAAAGATCAGAGGGCAGAGGTGGTTCAGGAGGGTAAAGGAAATGCTGGTGCTGGCTCTCAGCCTGGGCATGGTCTCTGCTGACCTCAGGGCTGGCCATGGGGTGTCCTACACAGCCAGGACAGCAGCTTTCCTGCCCTGGAGACCTGTTGGGCTGTGTATTTTGATTTCCTGTGTGTGCAAATATATGTATTTACCATTGTAAGTGGAAGGGGGGAATGTCTGACTTTGATGTCCAAAACAGAACTGTATTTTTGCCTTTAAAATCCAGTAATATAACACAAATAAATGTCCCTATCTTTGTAACTGCAGGTGGTTTCTCTTCTGATTTAAAGTGTTTGGGCTAGCCCTGGCCAGTTTGGCTCAGCGGTTAGAGCGTCGGCCCGCGGACCAGAGAGTCCTGGGTTCAGTTCCTGCTGAGGGCACGTACCTTGGTTGTGGTTTGTCCCTGGCCCTGATTGGAGTCGTGTGGGTGGCAACCAGTCAATCTCTCTCTCTCTCTCTCTCTCCTCCCTTTCTCCCTCCCGCTCTATCTGAAGATAAACGCAAAAATGCCCTTGGGTGAGGATAAAAAAATAATAAAGTGTTTGGGCTCTCCCAGAGTTGGTGGACAGTGACTGGGGCTGCCTGCTGGGAGGCTCTGAAGAAAGCAGAGGTCTGCCTTCTGTGCCTCCTGGTTCAGGGTGTCGTCGTGGCTGGGGCGTTGGATAGCAGGATCCCCACATACTACCCAGGAATCACATGGTTGGAGTACACATACGTCCCTGGAATCAGCTGATAAGAAAAAAATGCTGAGATGTTCTAAATTAAGTTCCAGTGGCCTGAGAGTGAAAGAGATGGGACTGTCAGTCTGTTCACGCCGCGGGCCAGCTCACAGAAGACTTCTCACATTCCTGTTTTGCCTGTTGGACTTTTGGATTAATTTCCAGGTGCCTATATCCTCAGATGATTTTAGCCAGCCACCTTCTAACTCCAGGAGCGCCCCACCGCCCTTTTTTGCACGTGGGCTTTCTGGACTGCTGCCCACAGCCACTCCACCAGAGCAGACGTTTCTTTATTCGGACTCTGCTCTCCCGGAGCTGGCCCTGCTTCACCTCTCCCACCCCTTTGCCTGTAGCTCCTGTAAATCCTTTCAGACTACCTCTTTCCTCCCCCTTCCCTTGACTTGTATAGAAACCGCATGCAAAATGAACATACTGTCTTTCGTACCTAGCCATGCCGCTGGTGGTTTAGACTTCATGCTCCAAGACCAGTCTGGCATTTTTGGCTCAACAAAACCTTATTTTTAAAAAAGGAAAAGATTTTTGTTTAACACAGCCATTTCCCCATCTAAGCCTCATTTTGTTATCTGTATAATGGGAATAATAACACATAGAGACTTTTTTGAGGCTGAAAAAAGATCAAGTATCTGAAGCAATGACAGACACCTCACAGGTACTCATTACATAGTAGCTAGTGCCACTTGCAACTAGAATTTCCCAAGCACTCCTCTGGCCACATTTCTGCTATTTTCAGTAAATGCCAGAATAGTCCTGAGATAGTTGTCCGAGCCACTTACACAAGGTGTTCAAAATGTCATTTAATCACTATGACCCAAAACAAGGTTTCTTGTCAGCCCCAGGAAATGTAATAAAGGGTCTTAGTTGTGACCCCAAAATGTGAGACACCTAAATACCCAGCAGCAGCCTCTTACATGCTGCTTGGATGAAGCTGGCATCTGGAAGAAATGGGCCAGAGGAAACCAGTGTGCAGGAGAGGTCACCCCAGCTGTCCGGGCTGTGGTAGCTGCAGGCCCTGCTAGGATGGGGCTTCAAAGGTGGGACCAGTTGGGAAATAGGAGCAGGAAGGGCAGCCCCTTATACTCCCTATCCCCGGCCATCTGGCTGTCTCCACTCATCCCTGTGACTGCTGGAAGGATCCCTTGTGTCCCAGGCCTGAGCAGAGGTGGCTTGGGCTCAGATCTGACCTTTGAACAGGAGATTCTGGCCCTTTGGACAAAGTGTTGCCTTTCAGGGCTTCGCAAGCTGTAAGGTCTGGGTTACGTGGAGCACCCTTCCCTCCCCAAAGACATACATGTCCACACAGAAGCATACACACAAGCATGCACAATACACCTGAACTGCCTGTGAGAGGCCAGAATGCCTCTTGTCAGTTCTGTGACCTTGAGCAGATGACTTAGCCTTTCTGCCTCAGTGTGTTCATCTGTATAATGAAGATAGCAATACCTATTTCATAGAGTTGTTACAAAGAACAAGTGAGTTAATACTTATAAAGCACTTAGAAGATGCATGGCTCATAATAATCATACATGTTCCAAAAAAATGTTATTTTTTTAAATGCATGTGGACACCTGCTGACATGTATGTATAAGCTGCTGTACACACATTACCAATATACACACACGTCAGACATAGTGGAGCTCTTTATTTTATGGGGCTTAACTCTGGCGGTTGGGCAGGTAAACCTCAGAGTAAGTGACCATTTCTCTTCTGGAGACACCCAGGACCTTAACAGTGGTGCTCTCCCACCCCTCCCCCACCTCACCTAAACAAAGGTATTTGGAATAACTGCCTTGGGGAGGGAGAGGGTCTTGAATCCCCCTTTGAGCTATAAGGGTACAGGAAGAGAAGAAGGTAGAAGAAAGAGGGTCAAGTACCCTCTTGGTCAAAGAAGAGGTGCCTGGGGTTGGCCGTTTCCTTGGGAAGTGCTCTGTCTCTCGTTTCCCATTTCACATGGGACCCAGACCAAGTATGAACCTGGCAGAGCCCACTAGTCATGAGTGTGGATTTGGTGGGCACCACATACCCTTCTCCCCCATAAAGTAGCTCTTTTCCATGTGAGAATGTGACTTGGATGCCAAGTTGGTGACCCACCTTTGGGGGCAGGGCTGTGGTGCCCAGGTAGGTGGGTGCCCGTGGAGGTATGTGAGTGAAACCTCCCCAGGTCGGAGTGTTGCTGCTGGTGACAGGGAAGCTGGGGAGGGTGGGAGAGGTCAAGGAAATGAGATGAACAAGTTTCCACCACACTTCCAGGCACCCCATCCTCTGGTTTCTTCCAGGAGTTGGAGTTCAAACATTCCTTGGAAGCAATTTTTTCTTAGAACTGAAATGTCTTACCCCATCAGAAAGGAAATGAGGCTTGTCTGGCTGAGCCAGTCATGCCAAACAAACCTCATTTCACGTGGCTGCTGCTTTTGTCTGGGCCCTGGGACCTGTACCCGGGTTGTGAGGCAAAGAACCTGCAGGGTGTGGTTGTCATGGGAAGTGATAGATAGGATCAGTAGACTGGAAACCAGAGGAATGTGGCACTCCAAGGACATCTGCCCTGGAGCAAGACGTGTGCCAGGTCACCTGGCAGGGGCCCGGGAAGACAGCCAGGAAGAAGCCATGTGATCATTACTTTGGCTCTCTGTCTTCCCACTTGCTGTGTGACTCTGGGCAAGTCAATTCCCCAGTCTGAGCCTCACTTTGCTCTGCTGTTTTATGACTTGCTCTCAGAATCCTTACCTGGTCTCTCCATAGTTTTGCCCAGTAGAAAGTGCCCTGGTGTTGGTAAAAATAGCAGGATCTCCCCTGTCTGCACTCTCCCCTCCTAGAGCTGCGTGAGCATCATAGGGTAAACTGTTAGAGCTTTAGCTGGTGTGGAAGGTGGGATGCGATTTCTGATGCCATCTTCCTTTTAAGCCTGAGGTCCCTCCAGGCGCAGGGCAGACTTCTCTCTCCTGTTCTACCTTAGTTTTTAAAAACTCAGGCCTCCTGATCATCCCACAGGATCTGAGAGGGTAAAGTATAGGTGTGGGGTGGGATGCCTGAGCCTCTGCCCGGCTCTAGGATTAAAGGTGGTGTAGGAGCCCGCTCCACACCCAGGCTCCTTTCAAGTGGACCATCTTCCTAACAAAAGGATTAGAAATATCCTGACCTTAAGAAGGCTCCCTGTGGAAGTGCAATTCAAAACCACACTGAGATACCATTTCATACCCATTAGAATGGCTATTAACAAAAAATAAATAAATAATAAAGTGTTGCTGAGGCTGTAGAAAAATGGAACCCCTGTGCACTGGTAGTGGGACTATAAAATGGTGCAGCCCTTGTGGGAAATGGTGTGGTGATTCCTCAAAAAATTAAACAGAACTACCATGTGACCCAGCAATTCCACTTCTGTGTATACACCCCAAAGAAATGAAATCAAGGACTTGAACAGATATTTGTATACCCATGTTCATAGCAGCGTTATTCACAATAGCCAAAAGGTGGAAATGACCCAAGTTTCTGTTGACCAATAAATGAATAAACAAAATGTGTTATATACTTAGAATATCATTCAGCCTCAAAAAGGAAGGAAATTCTGTCCTGGCCGGGTAGTTCAGTTGGTTAGAGCATCATCCCGATACGCCAAGGTTGCAGGTTTGATCTCTGGTCAGGGCACGTAAAAGAATCAACCAATGAATGCATAAATAAGTAGAACAACAAAAATTGATGTTTCTCTCTCTCTCCCTCTTTCTCTAAAATCAATAAATAATAACAAAGAAAAAAAAGAAAAAAGAGGAAGGAAATTCTGACATATACTGCAACATGGATGAAACTTGAAGACATATTAAGTGAAATAAGCAAGTTACAAAAGGGTAAATAATTGTGTGTGTGTGTGTGTGTTTAATTCTCACCCCAGAATTTATGCATATAAGTTCTTTGATTTATCTCTTCCCTCCCCCTACCCTTTTCTCTGATTTTTGTCAATCTGAGCCCTACTTCTGTGTCTCTGGGTTTATTTTGTTCATCAGCTTATTTTGTTGATTATATTCCACAAATAAATGTGATCATGTGATATTTGTCTTTCTTTGACTGGCTTATTTCGCTCAGCATAATACTCTCCAGGTCCCTCCATGTCATCTCAAAAGATAAGAGATCTTTCTTACATCTAGCTGCATAGTATTCCATTGTGTACATGTACCACAGCTTTTTTATCCACTCATCTGTTGATGGACACTTGGACTGTTTCCACATCTTAGCTATTGTAAATAGTGCTGCTATGAACATAGGGGTACATATATTCTTTCTGATTGGTGTTTCAGGCTTCTTAGAAGATATTCCTAGAAGTGGGATCACTGGGTCAAATTTTTAATTTTTTGAGGAAACACCATATTGATTTCCATAGTGGCCGCACCAGTCTGCATTCCCACCAGCAGTGTACTAGAGTCCCCTTTTCTCCACACCCTCTCCAGCACTTGTTTGATGATTTGTTGATGGCAGCCATTCTGGCAGGTGTGAGGTGATACCTCATAGTTGTTTTAATTTGCATTTCTCTGA